GCTGCCTCTGGCGGAGACTAGGGGGACTGCAAGCGCCTGGACCGGCACCCTTGCTCTCCCTGCGCGCACCTCCTCGGTCCCCGCCCCCCACCTGTAGCCTGGCAGGTGCATCGCCACTGGGGACGGGGGTGGGCGGGCACACCAGCCTACTTTGTCCATAGAAGACACTTCATACTGTGTTCAAAATCTCTAACTCCACTCTGCTGAGTCAGAACTGACTCCCAGCTGACCCACTGGGGGGGAAAGGGTCAGCAGAGGCTGCAAACCACCCGGGAGGAGATGGTCTTTTCTTCTCCTGAGGAACAGCTGGGGGTTTCGAACTGGCGGAGAGACAACCAGCTTTGACTGAACAGTCCACTGGCCATGGCTGCACCCTCCACCCCCACCCCGACTCCCTTCCTAAAGCGAACTCTCTTCTATCTTTCTGGAGAGCTTCGATGCCACGTCCTACTCAGGGCCATGGTGAGGCAGACACGACACTGGCAGGACAGTGAGACAGAGCCTACAGGGTCTCCTGGGCATGTCGTCGGGGTGTGTGTGTGCAGGCTTTGAAGAAAAGGCATCACGCTGCCAAGGGAGGAAGGCCCGAGAAAGAGAGGGAGACGCTGGACAAGATGACGGAAAGACACACTGTCTGTCACAGAGACCTGGAGCCTCTCAGAGATGCTGAGGTCGGAGCAGGAGAATTCAGGGTGTAGGGTGCAGTGTCGCTCTGAGTGACAGTTAACTCCATGGTCCCCCAAAACAGCAGCAGAATCAACAACTCTCTTTGTGGATGCAAGTGGCCACGGCTCTCTCCTCAGTGGCTAGGGGGTTCGAACCACTGACCCCTTGCTAAACCACTGACTACTGCTCTTTGTATCTGGTAAAGGATCCTAGAATTTGCACTGCATTTTACAAACATTGGCCGATTGCATCATTTTTGTTTTTCTTTTAAGCACCTCTCTCTGTGGATGTGGTAAAGTGGGTGACCCTTGAAAACCTCATAAGAAGCAGAACAAGTCAGAGAGGCTCGTGGCTTCAACCACAGAGAGGCCTCTCCACCGGGGGTCATGAGCCCAGGCCATCAGAACTTCCGTTTTCCGAGCAGCCCAGTGTGTAGGGGTTATTAGTGTTTGCCAGTCGGGGAAGGTGGAGGAAAGGGGGCAAGCTATTCCCCACGAGTGACTAGAATGGTGTAAGTGGTGACTGTGCATTCTGAAAGAGGAGGCTTGTACAACTTGGAAAACGTCGTTGTGTTGGAAATATGCGCGCGGTTGTGTTGCTGGATGATTTGATGTGGATCTTTTCACCCGAGTAAAATTTTTATTATTTTAATGAAAGTTTGCAGAGACTTTGGATTTCCATTCATTCATTGTTGCACTTTTCTCCCTGCCCACCCCTCCACCCCCCGCCCCCAGTTGGCTCTTCTCTTTGAAAAGTAGAAGAAAAAATTCTTTCATTGTTAATATGATCCCTTCCCCCAAATCCATTCCGCTGTGCAGCCTTCATTCTGGACTCCTGTCATGACCAATAATACCTAATCACAGATCCCTTTTATTTTTTTTAAATTTCATTATTATTATTATTATTATTATTTATGTGTGTACTGTCAAATCAGATCTGACTGATAGAGGAGGTGATTATTCCTCTTTCTTCAGCAGAGCATCTGGTGGATTTGAACCGCGCATCTCTGGGATTGCAGTGCAGCTTCTTGCCACTAGGCCACCAGAGCTCGCCCATAGATCCCTTTTAAACAGTTCTCTCCCTCATCTGTTTCAATGCAGTATACCTCATTCCTCCCCTCCTTCTCTGTCTTCCTTCAACCCCGATGTCAGTCCCATTTTACAACAGTAGCCCTATGCAATATTTGTCCTTTTGTGACTGAGATATTTCACTCAGCATAATGTCTTCCAGGGTCACCCATTTTGTATAATATTTCATGAGTTCCTTGTTTTTCAATGCTGCATAGTATTCCATTGTGTGAATATACCACAGCTTCTTTATCCATTCATTTGTTGATGGGCACTTGGGTTGTTTCCAGCTCTTTGCTATTGTGAACAAAGCTACAATAAACATGGATGTGCATATATCTGCTTGAGTGGCAGTTATGGTCTCTTTGGAGTATATTCCCAGGAGTGGAATTACTGGGTCAAATGGTGTTTCTATTTGCAACTTTTTGAGAAAGTGCCACACAGCCTTCCATAGTGGCTGCACCATTTTACACTCCCACCAGCCGTGAATAAGGGTTCCAGTTTCTCCACTACCTTGCTAGCCTTTGTTGTTTGCTGCTCTGTTGAATTTTGTTATTCTTACTGGGGTGAGACATAGTGGCCTTTTCTAAGAACTGGCCTCTCCTGACAACATCTCCAAAATACATGAGACCAGGTTTCACTCTCTTTGCATTTCTTCCGAGGTAGACTTGAAAACCTGTAATTGGACATAACTTCTGTTACACAAACCCTAATCCCCACCCAATGTTGTGGAGCTAAATGCCCATTTGCAGGACAGAGCAGGACTTCCCCATGGGGTTTCTGAATCATTATGGACCTCCCTCTGGCTAGCTGGCTGGCTGGTGGGTTTGAACCACTGAACTTTCAGCTAGTGGCCCAGTACTTGACCATTCTCAGGGCACCTTAGTTTTTCTTTCCTTATTATTAGGCTCCGTCTACCTGAGGACAACCCATAGCGATCCCATAACAACAGATCTGAACCCTGTGCCACTCTGAGCTGCCCTCATCATCTCTGACACACTCAAGCCCATTGCTGTAGGCACTGTGTCAGGCCACCTGTTTGAGGGTCTTTCTTTTCTTCGCTGCCCACCTTTCCAAGAATGGCGTCCCTTTCCCAGGAATAGCCTCTTCCAGCAACATGCCCAAAGTGTGCAAGATGAAGCTTTATTATCTTCACTTCCAAGGAACATTCTGGCGTTACCCTCTCCAAGACATATATCTGTTTGTTCTTTTGGCTGTCCGTGGCATGTTCAGTGTTCTCCAACAGCACAACTCAAAGGATCAATTCTTCTTCTGTCATCCTTATTCATTGTCTGGCTCTCAGATGCATAGCAGATGATTTAAAAGACCGGGGTCTGAATCAGGCACACCTTAGTCCTTAAACTAACATCGTTGCTCCTCAGTAATTTGGAGAGATCCCTGACTGCAGACTTTTCCCCAGTGTGATATGTCTCCTGACCTCCTGACTGCTGGTACCAAGTGTATTTCTTGTAGATCCAAATACGATGAAGTCAAGGACAATGTTATTTTTCCCCCCTCCATCTATCATGATGTCACCTATTGGTCCAGTGGGGAGAATTTTTGTTTTCTTGACATTGAGGTGTAATTCATACTGAAGGTTGTATTCCTTGATCTTCTGCAGCAAGTGCTTCACGTTCTCGTCCCTTTCAGCAAGCAAGGTTGTGTCATCTGAGTACTGAAGGTTTTTGATGAGTCTCCTTTCAATTCTGATGCTACATTGCCCTCCATAGAGTCCAGCTTCTTTTCTTTTATTCACTTGTAGAGTGGGAAAAATATAACGCTGCCTTTTAGGTTCCTGTGAGGGTGTGGTGATATTTCACAGGCAAAAATGTTCATCCCAATGCCAATCATAACAAAGGCTCAAGATAGAAGCTACAGAGGTGAGGGAGCTCTCGTGGCCTAGTGGGTGAGGAGTTGCACTGCCAACCCAAAGCCAGATGGTTCGAATCCACCAGCTGTTCGAAAGAGAAGCACCTTCCTCCCTTGTAATTTACAGCCTGTGAAAACCTGCTGGAGGATCAGCTATGAATCAGTTCCAACTTGATGACTATGGAGTTAGGGGGTGGAGAAGAGAAAGACAGAGATACTGTGGGTGTGGGTGTGGAAGGGATAAATACAGCTCGTGGGCAGCTCTCTTTTTCTTTGGGATGTGGGAGTAGATTTATTCATCCTTGAAAAAAAAAAAAAGAAGAAGAAGCTTGGAAACTAGGACAGACGCCCAGCACAGTGCCTGGCTCAGAGTGAACCACCCGCTCTTGTAGGAATCAATTTCCACTCAGAGAGAAACAGAGTAGAATTTCTGAGGCTGTAAATCGTTATGGAAGTGGGACAACCTCATTTTACTTCCATGGATCAGTTAGTGGATTCGAACCACCAGCCTTTTAGTTAGCAGTTTGACACAGAGTGGAGGTTAGTCTTGACATATAAAGCCTTGTCATACCCGTGTAAGGTTAAGGAGTGAGCCACTAGCACACAGGACACTTTGTGGTAATCAGTCCCTGAAATATAGTAATGTATGTAAGGTGTTAAGTATTCTTCAAAGTCTATGTTGTTGTTGTTATGTGCCGTTGAGTCGCTTGTGACTCATAGCGACCCTATGTACAACAGCCCTAAACCCTGCTCTGTCCTGTGCCAATCGCTCTGCCTCTGACACACCCATCCCGATTACCCCAGTCACTGGATCAATCCACCTCATAGAGGGTCTTCCTCTCTTGTGTGGTCCCTCCACCCTCCCAAGCACGATGTCCCTCTCCAAGGACCTGTCTGTTCTTACAACATGTCCAAAGTATGTTAGACAGAGCCTCAGAATCCTTGCCTTCTAGTGCAACAATGAATGAATGGAAACTCAAAATCTCTGTAAATGTTTATGAAAATTAATAAAATATAATTATAGAAAAAAAAAGAATCCTTGCCTTCAAGGAGCCACCTGGTTTAACCCTTTCCAGGATGAATCTGTTTGTTTTCCTGGCAGTCCATGATACATTCAACACTCTTCTCCAGCACCACAAAGGCATCAATTCTCCTTCTATCCTCCTTAGTCATTGTCCAACTCTCTGACGCATAACAAGTGATAGCAAAGACCATGGCCTCTATCAAATGCACCTTAGTCTCCACAGAGACACCA